TAGTAGTAATAATAGTAGTAATGAAAGTCTGAACTGCGGCAGGGACAGAGCTCGCTGATGCTCCAGCGCGGAGCAGGAGCCAGAGCCAGAGTTGCACGTCATGAGTAAGAACAACTCCCTGGTGCTTAGGATTTAGGGGTTAGGGTTTAGGGAATAGATTGTAGGGATTATTATTAGGTATTATTATTAGGTATTATTATTAGGGATGATTATTAGGGATGATTATTAGGGATTATTATAGGGATCGATTCCCCCATTCCCTCCAAAGCACCAGGGGGACAAGTATTCCACGGATGAAGGAGCGTCAACTCCCTACATGCACGGGATGTGTCCTTTGGGCCCGTCCTGGCCAGTGCCTAGGCTTTTTTAGGGTTTAGGGTTTAGAGTTTAGGGTTTAGGGTTTAGAGTTTAGGGTTTAGGGTTTGAGTTTATGGCAGGTGCACTCATCCCATTAAAACTGCGTTGCGTGGCGTTGAGAATTGCACTTGGGACGCAACTTAAAATGGGGGTTTCCCAAAATTAGGAGTACCATTTTTGGGGGTCCCCATAATAAGGATTATAGTATATTGGGGTCTGGTCCCCTTCTTTTGGGAAACTACCAAATCTGGCTAACTCCCAGAAGACATGTCCTCGTCGCTTGTCCTGAGGCAGCTCCCGGCCAGTGTCACCTCGGACCCCCCGCACTGTGCAGCCCGAGAAGTGTGACCCGAAGCAAAGCTGCTGAGTCGGCAAGAAAGCTGTGCTTAAACACCATTGGTAACAGATGGTAACAGCAGATAGCAGCAGCATGACTGAGCATGATTTATCATCAGAAATGTGGAGAAGTTGTACACTGTACATGTCATCAGAAGGATGATGAGCGGGGTCAGGTTGACCCTGTGTGAATCCGAGTGACACACCAGAACCTCTGTGCCGGCTGGTAGATGCAGCTGAGGAATTCGGTCAACGACGCCCTCACACGCAAGGCTGATCGGGTGAACACAACAGCAATGCCAGATGCAGCGGGCAATTTTAGGGGATACCATGAGCAGCCCACAAGACTTGGACCTATGTGCAGCTTCCTGTGCTGTGCAGGGATCGA